ACAAGGACCAACCACGCTGGTAACGCAGCCAGAATATGAAATGTAGGGTATTCGTGAGGATCCCAGAGCGATATTTTCTCCTTGTAGTGTAGTGGTTAACACATCGGACTAGAATACTGAAGACGTGGGTTCGAATCCTGCCAAGGGCATTTGATATTTTTCTCTTATTCTCTCTACTTCATTATATACACACCGAACGCATAATTTATTACTACTATATCAGTATTTCACAGTTTATTTCAAAACTAATCTTATAATGGCAATAGTATAATAGTAATGCCGTGGTTCGATTCCCAGCAATTTCCAGTACTTCTAGCTGGAATCTCTAATCCGTAGGACCTTTAGCTGGTTATACTGTATACAACGGAAACTTAAGAGTGGCTGAAAGGGAGTAAATGAAAGGGCGCAGCGTCGTCGATCTCTTTTAAATACTAAAAACACCATTGTTGAATGGAGCTCATATTCACATATAGTACTACACAAATAGACCTCTTAATCGGCACCTATTTCCAAGCTCGTACACCGACCGCCACACTTGGGACTTACCTTACGGGAAAAAATGATGCGATAAAAAAAGTTGTGATAATAAGTCAAGGATTTTTTCAACTGAATTTGAGAAATACATCTGCATAAAGGACAAACATAAACAACGAAGATTATGTACAACTCTTTGTGATAACTAAAAATGGTGAAACAGATAGCACCGTGTTATAACTTGCTAAAGACGAACGATTTGTGTGATAACCAAAAATAGAGTTGGGATAACTCGGAGTCTTGGGAGAAAAACCCTGTATATATGATAACTGACACTGATGATAAGAGACTTTCAAAAAAAAAAAAAAAAGCCTTCCTTGGCTGTTGTTATTTTCTATCAATTAATCCCAAAAATAGGTATGTCCATCCGTTTTGCGGGATGAAACAAAGCCAGTAAGAAAGGAAATGAGACGTCATTTTAAAGGTTGGTTTAAAAAGGGTTTACTATCTCATTTCTCTCTCTCTCTCTCTCTCTCTTTCTCTCTCTCTCTCTTTCTCTCTCTCTCTCTTTCTTTCTTTCTTTCAAATACCGTGTTTACTGTTATAAAATAACTTTGATCAGTTTCCGATCACTTATTAAAACGTCAAACCCACTGGTAAGTGTTGGCCAATCCCAGCATAGGAAATGCAACGCATATCACTTTTACTTTAAACTACTTTAATTTCTCTCGATAACATATATTGACTATACTCCTCTGTCGCTACTTAGTGGCAACTAGTCTGAAATAAAAAAAAATTCACAAAAAAATATTCTATTTATATCCTATTTCATAATTCCCTACGAACTGGTTTTTCATTTTCCTGTTATCAGCCAATTGCACGTCGACTATTTAATAACCTTGTTTACAGGTTTTGGCAAAACACATTTTACCCAGGAAGGACTTAGATTAATTATTCGATAAAGATTAAAATAGATAGCAGCTGGCGGTAGTTTAGGGTAGCGCATGCGCCGTACATTAATGTGACCGCTGCTCTTTGCTTATTATTTAGAGTAGGATATCAGGATAGCTAGAGTAGATTTACTAACCATGAAATAGTTAGAATTAGACTAGCAAAGGTTGGTAGATTTTACCTCCATTGTTTTATTTTGTCTATTTCACTTTTAAACTCCACTTGATTAAGTAATTGTTGTTTAACGGGTTTAAGTAAAATCACAGTCTAACCCATATGAATCATACGGCTAAAAATAGCAGACAGACTCTCTCTCTCTCCTAAAGCTGTCATGGGACATACCCTGACATAGCGCCAACTGCAACAACTTCACATTACATTTGGCTTACGACTTTAGCACTTAAGGCCCGTCCACACGCATCCGCAAATTTTTGTGTCCACAAATATGTTTTTGCGGATACGGGTTGCGTCCACACTTGTCCGCAAATGTTTGTCCGTATCCGCAAATTTTACGAAAACGGATACGTGTGGACGGTGAAAACGATTCGAATACGCTGCGTGTGGACGCAAACATTTTCGTATCCGCAAAAAATAATTTGCGGATACAAAAATTTCCGGATACGTGTGGACGGGGCCTTATAAGTTACATTTACATATCTATTTCGTTCAAACGCAGCGGCCTGAATGATCGTAAACACTCTTCAGCTGACTCTTTAATTTATTTCAGGATTTGTTTTAAAAAACAACAAAATAACAAAGAACTAGAAAACCTAGAAAATAAAAGGAAAATATAAGGACAATTGCCCATCCTAACAGTCCGAATTGAGCATTTAAATAGAGCGAACTACTTCGAATGTCCGAAGGGCACAGGGAACCCAATCTCTGAAAAGTGCAAGTAGTATCCATGATGATAGGGCGTACTGAACCTCGAAACTAATAAGTTGATATTTGATCACTGACAAAGTTATAAGTTACTTGTTTACTCCAACTAGTTTTCATTAATAAAATACAGTACCTCCAAAAATTAGCCTCCAAAAGATAAATAAAGCGAAATCCATGAGTTATCATTAAGTGAAATGAACTAATGAAAAACGAGAACTTAATAAATGCGAAAAAAAAAAAAAAGCAAGTACAAAGGAATTGATATCTTATAATGAATAATGATGAACTGACAGCATCTCAGTATTTGGTTTTAGAATGATTATTGACTTACTGCACTTGGCCTTTGGCTTGTCTCTTGCCGGTAAAGAGTTGTTTAATTTGATGGTCAACTTTCAAGAGCTTCGAACTTAGTTTTATTAAAACTAGATTGAAACTATCTAATAGACGTACAAGTAACATTGCATGATATTGATTTTTGAGGAGTTCTATAATAAAATTAAGCAAATGCCATGGGCTAAAAAACACTAACGAAGTGGCGAAAAAACCTGGATAAAAACAAATGAAGGAGCAATCGGATACCCGACTGAGCGATTGGTAAACACTACATGAACTGAATAACGCTTTGTAAATTATACATGAAAATTGTAATAGAGTAAAAATGTTAATAAGTGATCTTTGGTCGACTCTCGAATTAATATATATATAGAAATGTAATTAAGACAAACTCGAAGTGAGAGAAAGAAATCAGTGTACCGTAGGAGGTTAATACCTTCTAATATTTTAAAAATTTCTTCATAACTTAGTTTAACAATAAGAGCTATCCAGTTTTGAGCCTATCTGAGCGATCATCTTTATCTTTTTTATCAGCTTTTATTTAATTTGCCTACTATTCTTTCGGTTCAGTGGTCCTGAATTGAAGATGACCGCTTCCAGGTTGAAAGCTCGACAAAAAAGAAAAGATTATTGGTAAACTCATGTCGAAGTAGCGCGTTAGAAATGAATTTAAACACAACCCACAAACACTTATCAGTATAAGTTATAATTTATACACAATTTTAAAGGTATTGTTTCATGATAGCCAATTTTCGATTCAATGGCAATTTTAACGACCTCCCTTACAAATTTAGTTTACAATGTATGCCGGCAATTATAGTCGCTCATTGTCGACACCAGAAAAGGAAAATGGATATTCTTACCTGGAATCAAACTGTCAATTCTTGTTATTTAAAATATCATACAATTTGTAGTGATTTTTCAGTGTAAACCTTGAGTCCTTCGTCGAGTCCTAACTTTTGAACGATATACTTCTCGTCGATAACTTTGGCGCCAAAAACGGTGCGCGCGCGTCGCAACTAATTAAGTATTCGTAACACTTAATTCCCATTGGTTGCCTAGCTGCAAGTTATTTTTATTTTAATGAAAGATTTTCTTAGGTTAATAAACGGTTAATAAAAGATCCTGTGGGTGATAAAGGGAATGATATAAGAATGCCATCGATAACAACAATTCTAAATTTATTTTGACAACATATTTCATCTTATTCACTATAATATTTCATAGGATATTTCAATCTGTATTACTTCTTAAGAGTTCTCTGTTTTTCTGCATGCTCTACTGTTTTCTCTTCAACATAAAGACCTTTTCTACGCCTCACACTGTTCATGTATTTACGGGCCTGGTTCTCCGAGTCAGCCTTCGCTCCAAAGTGCATGTATTCTTCTTCCGTAGTTGGAACCCAGTACGGGTCTATGTCAACAACCTGTAAAGATAATGGAGAAAAATAATAGGAGTTGTATATTGTGTTAATAATCATAATTTGATGGCAAAAGGTTTATCTATTTACTAAGAGCTGTTAGACTATAATTGAACGAAAAATCTTTGTAATCTTTAGTAAAACTCTCAATCCAGGGATGGATTAAAGTTCACTATTCAAATAAACACTGATGCGATTCTAGCTTGAGAGATCAGCAGCAACTCCCTGCAATCAAGTAAAATAAATGTACAGTTTACTTTTTTTAACTAACTCACCTCCCAGTGGCTAAACACTAACTGCGGATTGGCCAAACCACTCGTTCGTTTACGAATCTCCTCTGAGAAGCCGAAACTTTCAGCCACCGGCAACACAGCCTCCACGTCAAACACATCCGATCCTTCCATCATCTCTTCACTCAACACTCGTCCTTCTCGCTTTCCTATAACTGCGTACATCCTTCCCAATACTTCTGCAGTAGCCTGGATATGACAAGTGTACATCGCAGCCATGAGACGCATAGGCTGAAGATGGAAGGCACGCCTGCAACCTTCTTTTACAGCGGACATAATTTGCCCGGACATTGGACCAAGTCTATTAAAAATGCTTCCTTGATCCAAAGAGTTACCTATTATCTTTTCGTTGTTTTCTTCGGTGTTGGTCTTGCTATGTTCTTTTGAGTTGACCATTTCAGAATTTTCTGAATCTGATATTTCACCTTGGGTAGGCGTTCTCTTGTCGGAATTTTCGTCAACTTGTTCTTCCTCGTTTCGTATCATGCTTGACTGCTCTTTTAAATCTTCCATCGAAGCTTCTTTTTCTCCTTCGCTACAGAGTATTCCAGCATCTTCTTGTTTAGAACTTCCATTGTCTAAAATACTATTTTCCTTGTTAAAACTACTAGTGTCCTCAAGGTCCAAACTGGTTTGTCCTGCTGTACAGGTATTTTCATTACCTGTTTTTCTCGTTTCTGGTTTATCAATAAGTATTTTCTCTATAACGAAACACACGCCCATAAGAGGTTCTTCGCATAAGGGTCCTGCTAAAGTGGCCAACTGAAATCCACTTAAAATGCTGTTGTCGTAATTTTTATAACGACCGTCATTCATCTTGTTAGCTGAAGGAAAAAAACATTTTATTATTAAGATTACAACTTTTTATATATAATAAATAAAAGATGGCGAGATTTGAGTAAAATGTATAGAGGAATTTCGTACGACTATAAAACGCTCACAGTTATGTCACTGTAACGAAACGGAACTAACAACACCCGTTACACCAATAAGAGCGCGCATTTAACATTCATCCAATCAAATGCACGGACACGCCGCTTTCACGGTCACACAAGGCACGTACTGGAGAATTTACAAATCCCGTTGAACCAATAAGAGCGCGCATTTAACATTCACCCAATCAAATGCAC